TTTTAAAAGCTCTAAGACCAGATGGATTGGCCAGACCTACCACTCAACCTACAACACCTCCATCCTCTTAAGCAAAACCACTTCATACATCCATAACAGCACTATCACAGACCCAGAGGGATGGTTCATTATCATCAATGGTAACATTCACTGATAGTATAACAATAGCTAGCATCTATGGCCAAAACTCAGACTTACCCAAATTCTTTCACCTCCTCTTTCATGAACTATTTAACTTTCCAAACTCTCGTATTATAATAGGTGACGACTTCAACACGGTCTTGAACCCGGATCTTAGATTACTCTTTCATTCCTCATCAAACAATATATGTCAGAATATGGATTAATGGAGATCTGGAGACTACACAACACAAACAACAACAAATTTACATATTACTCCCTTCATCTCAAAACCCATTCCTGCATTGATTATTATTTTTTGATCAATAACACACCCACACAGTAAGTGTGAGTAGCACACTATCAAAACAGAACAGAACCTAACATCCACAGCATAGTTGTATCAGACCATGCCCCCATATCTCTGGAATTATCAACACGAGTTAAACCTTAATGTAAACCTATATGGCACTTTAAAATATGTCTACTCAAAGATCCAGACTTTACCACTTACTTACTTACCTCAAGAAGCACGTAGCAAGATCCGAGCATGAATCCAAGTGCTTTATTAGCCTATCAGAGGCAGACGGTATGATGATTTGATTCACCACGACTGCAGAAATAATTGAAAAACTACAGAATGTTACAAAATGACATGTCCGCGCTCCTGGCTTGAAGAGTAGAAATGCGCAGCAGCGCTCCCGGCTTGAAAGGTTGAAATGCGGACATGCTGTCCCAGTTTAAATGGGTTAAGTGATTGATGCTGATGACTGCAAGGCCAGTGAGCCGTTCCTGAGACATGGTTGACCTTAGGTACGACTTTATCAACTTCTGTTTTGAGAAGCTCCTCTCTGCTTGAGCCACCGTGACTGGCAGAGTGAGAGCAGAACTGTCCCCCGCAACCCCCTCCCAACATCCTTCCCAGCAGTCTGTCAGCCTCTGTCTGTGCGGCACCTTCCCGGGAAGCAGGGGCGCCTACATCAGCAGGGGGCGCCAATTTGCCAAGAGTTAATACAAAACTGCTTTGCGGTGCAGATTTTTTATTATTAGCATTATTATTTTAATTTTTTGGAAGTGCGCGTGCCGCCCCCCATGAGTCATGATACAATTGCCGCCCCAGGCGGCTGCCCGGTTCACCCGTGCCTAGGACCGCTACTGTTGTGGAAAATCCAGCATAAACTTAGTAAAACAATGCACAGGAGACAGGATGAGATCTGAAGAACAACCTGGGCGTCTTTTATTGTACAGATGTAGAAATCAGTACAGATGACAAACAGAGTCTCGACCAAGACAGAGGGAAGCCTCCCTAGCTTTTCTACTACTCCCTTTTATGCTGTTAGGTAGGTGTGTGTGTGTGTGTGTGTGTGTGTGTGTGTGTGTGTGTGTGTGTGTGTGTGTGTGTGTATTCTGTCATCATGGGTATGTCAAATCAATTCTCCAGAGGGCTACCCATGATGACATGTCGTACTGTTCTGACCCTCAACACTTTGTTTAGGCTCATCTTAACTCTTGCAGAGATTAAATGTTCCAACAGACAGATTGTTCAGGCTTGTGCAAGACAGTCTTGCTTACAACCTCACAGTCATGAGGCTGCATGAGCAGGCCAACCTAGATTATTTGTAGCTCCTTACTAAAAGATAATGACTCTATATTTCTTAACCTAAATGTATGAAAAGATTCTCCTACACAGTCCCCCCTTTGAAAGTTCTCACTTTCATAAAAACCTGATCATCATATCAAACACTAAACATCCTTAGCTACGTGATGAAAAATAAAACACGTACACTAAATTCTAAATGCTATGTGTGTGATTTGCTGCATCTAAGATAATAATACCACATGACATGTGACACATTGGATATGGCATGAAACAAAAATCAAAATGCATTAACCAGTTTTATGAATTATGCAACCTTATCAATTTGTGATATAAATTCCCCCAATTATGCAAAAGTTATAAAGTTGTGGTATCAGTTCTCAAGAAGTGTAATAATCAATGTTCATTGGGTTGAATAATAGCTCATATTGATGTTAAATTTCTTCACCATCATACCATAGCTCCGATCATTTCAATTATATCAGCACATAAGACTGAAAACCCTGCCGCGCTGTTTCAACAGAGAAAGAATCTTACGGCCCCGCGCCCTGGCGACCATCCATGTTCTGGATATGCTGACATAATATCATTCGCTTAGAAAAAGTTTCAACTTCTGGTAATAACATTAATTTCATTGTAGCAACCTGCGACAAACCCCTTGATTAGTATGTGATCAACCCCATGATCAATGTGTGATCAGTGTAGTCCTTTAACTCTGCGAATGAAACATGTTCAGTTCAATATCTCAGCTCATTGGATGTTGTTTGTGTTGCTCAAAGTCCATTGCTCATCTTCGTCTCCTTCAAAGTCCAGGAACCGTTCAGGTCCATCAACAGACCACCTTACCAGCATTTTCCTATAGGTAAGTGTTAGCGCAAATTTTTCTGATCTGATATTTACTTGAGAGATTAACTTTCTTCCCCAAAATGATGTACCAAATCATGCAATAACATTTCACAAAAGTTTTGACTCCAAGATCTTTTGATGGTGTTGCTTCCATTCATCAACTGAACCTGTCATCATTACTAACATGTAACATTTCCCTTGGCAGTTTTAATGATGTCCACATTGTCTATGAATAGATGTCTAAAAGCGTCTCTCTGGAACTGGAAACGTGTCCTACTAATGTTTTATTGGTGTATTCAATTCTTTTGGAAACACATATCACAATGGCCCAAGAGTTTATCAACTATTGCCAGCATATTCTAAAAATCTCATGTTTTAATTGTCTCATCATCTCCCCCCTTGCACAGTGTGAATCACTGTGAAAGTCAGATCCTGAGTTGGTTTGTTAATACTACTGGTAGCAAAATAGTTATTTGACTTTAAAACATTTTCTGTGGCCATCTGAGGAGATGGGACTTATGGTGGACCTAACACTGGCCCATGAACTACAGGAAAAGCCAAAGGGGGGACTGTGTAGGAGAATCTCTTCATACATTTAGGTTAAGAAATATAGAGTCATTATCTTTTAGTAAGGAGACCAAATAATCTAGGTTGGCCTTCTTGTGGCAGTATGGGCCGACAGCCCAGCTGTACCTTGATTAGGCTGCAGTCTCGGCCTATGCCTTCAGGGGGCATAGGCTTTAAATGTGGGTGCTTGCTCCCTGCGAGTCCTCTCCCTCTGCTCAGAGCTCTTGTCAGCTCTGCTCTCTCCGTAATCACAACACCAGGGGCCTCATGTATCAACGCTTGCGGCGCAAGAAAACCTTGCGTACGCCAAAATCGGCGCACACGTCCAGATTTATCATCGCGAAACGAGCGTCGGTTCCAGCTCTAATCAACGCAAAGTCAGGAGGTGGTGTAGAAATTGGCGTTGAGCTGATACTTGCGTTGACTGTGATTCGCACTTTGGCGACGCTGTGTGGCGGTGTTTGGTGACCTCACTATGTGACAAGCGTGCACCACATCCCCGTGGCCGAGCAGCACGTCGCCCCACATGACGAACCAGCAGCAGACGGAGGGATGCGAGCTGATCCCTGCCGGGCCGCCGTCCTCGTGCGGGAGAATCTCATCGCTACAGTGTGAATGGGTAAGAAGTGAATACACAGTTCAATGAGCCAAATTAATTTATTTTCTCCACCAGACGCTCGAGGACATTTACGAGCCGGTCCAGCCGCTCGTTGATCCCCGCGATCCCCCTGATGATTTCTTCCTGCGATTGCAGGACCCCCTCCGCGAGGACCCTTCCACTGCGTCCGGGTGGTCCAGCGGAAGCGCCGCGGCTGGTGGACGCTCCACTGCTTGTCGGCGCGCTGGTGCTGATGCTGGTGCTGGGGCCGGGGGCCGGGGTGGCCCGAATGCCGCTGGTCCTGGCCAACGACTCCGAGCTGGCGGACGGGCTGCCGTGGGCCAGGGTTCCGCAAGCCGGCGACACGGCCGACATATTGATTTCTGTGACACAATAAAAATATTGGTTCATTTCAATTCCTGTTTCTGTGTATCTGTTGCGTTTACATCTCTCTCCACGGTATCATAGGTAATGTAATCCAGTATTTCGAGGTCAGTTATGCACATTACAGTTGTTTATTGCATAAAAAGTTATCGAAAAATGAAGTTAAGGGCGAAGTATAAATCACGTCTAAAAATAGACTGAATCCCGACGTTGAAATGAAGTATAAACTTAGACTAGACGTCTTATATACGTCTTTTGCTCAGTGGGATGACAAAGCATGTGGACATTTGTGTGACACGCCACTTACCCTATAATAATAATCACCACCACCCGCTGCTCAAACGGCGTGAGGGTCTCCTCCCCCGGAACCCCACCTGTCTGGCCAGTACTCCTCCGGAGGGCAGCTGTACGCCGCTTGACCTCCACCTTGAGGTCCGACCACTTTTTTTTATCTACGCGGGGGTGCGTGTCTCAGAACCCACCGCATTCACCCTCTCGCAAACTTTCTCCCACTCCAAGCGTTTTTGTTTTGCACTGACGCCACTGGACAGGCTGCCAAACAAAACACGCTGTCGCTCCTCCACCTCCGCCACCAGCACCTCCACCTCGCACGCCGTAAATTTAGTTTTTCTTGTCATTTTGTCTGCGTGCAAGGACAGGGAGACCCTATTTAAATAAATCTGCATATTTATAGGAGGGCGTAACGGGGACGGGCCCAGTCACTCTGACATCTGCGCTCAATTCCACGCTGATTGGGATTTATCAAGGAAACACACGTGGATTTCGGCGCCCGCACAGATTGATACATACGGATTTTTTTCAGCGTTACGGACCTTGCGTGCGCTCGTTTCTGGTATGAGTTCCACGCAAGTATTGATACATGAGGCCCCTGGTCACCGTACCTGATCGCCTCGCTGCCGGATTGTGCTGTGTGCTCAGCTCGCTGCTCCTGGTATGTTAATCACATACTTTATTGTATCGCTTTAAAAGTTTTGCGGTTGCCGTCAGGGTTGGCTTTTGTCTCCAACAGTTCCTCACTGGGTCTTCTCTCTCCTGCATTGAACCGATTGCGGGACCCAGAGTGTGTGTTCCCGCATCCCCACACAGCTGGGGGTGATCAGCTGAGTGGCCTCTGATTGTTCTGTGGCGCTGCGGGTGCCTCGTTCCCTCGCCCTCGTGAGGTTCATTCAACTTTCTGATGGTATGTGTTTAAATGACTGCAACTCAAGCTATCATTATTAAGCCGTGGTGCTAAATTATAGTTTTCTCACATTAGGTTTTGTGTGTGTGAGCCGATCGGGCTGCCCTAAACTCTCCTCCCTCCTCTCGGGCCGCTATCGGCTGTGCTGCTGTTTTGCTTCTGTGCTGCTGGTCTGCTTCTATGCTGCTCGATGTGGTTGTTTCCACTACCACTGCTGCCTGCTCTACTGTACTCCTGTCTCATCGCCTTTGGTAAGGCTGTCACTATCGCCATCTAACTTTGATTCGATGGCGCTCTGCTTCATGTGAGGTGACGCCAACACCCTTGGGACTAAGTTTTTTTTTTTGGTAACCTGTTGCCTCAGCTTCCTCATTTTGTTGGCATTTAGTCTATTATGGTTTAAATCATTTGTTATTATTTTGTGATTTGAGTGTTTTGTGTTTTTGTTTCTCCAGTTTGAGTACTTTGTTTTGTTAGTTACTAGTGTTTGATTTATTTGCATGTTTGTTTGGTTTGGTCATTTCTAAATATTTTGAGTTATTTTTCTTTTTTTTGCTTGCTAGTTTTCCTTTTTTGGTATTTGTGATTTATTTCTGATTTAACCAGAATTTGCTATTTGCACATCAATTTTATAGGCAACATTGCTGTTTTAGTTAAGAGAAGTGTGTGTGTTTGTGTGTGAATGAGTGTGGATGAATGGGTAAAAAATATTTTATTAATCTTGTTTATTGATGAAAATTGTCAAATAAAATTCAAAAGTATTTGTGCACTGGACCACGGCCTCCCGTCTTCACTGGCAGATGAACCTGTGTGTGCCCTAGCTTTACATTCAGGGGTAACTCTACTCTCCAGGTGAAATTCCTGGGGTGGTGTTGTTGGCAACAAAATCAATATCGTATTCAGTAATCAGTAGTTGATTAGTGAATTGGTTAATAGGGGTTACAGTATTTTACTACATCTTCTTCCAAATTCCATTCTCTGTTAACCCCACCCCCGGCTGTCACATTCTCATGCAGCCTCATGACCCTGAGGTTGTAAGCAAGGCTGTCTTGCAGGAGCCCGAACTATCTGTCTGTTGGAACATTTAATTTCTGCGAGAGTTAAGACGAGCCTAAACAAAGTGATGAGGGTCAGAGCAGTACGACCATGTCATCATGGGTAGCCCTCTGGAGAATTGATATGACATACCCATGATGACAGAACACACACACACACACACACACACACACACACACACACACACCTACCTAACAGCATAAAAGGGAGTAGAAGAAAAGCTAGGGAGGCCTCCCTTGGTCTTGGTCGAGACTGTTTGTCATCTGTACGGATTTCTACATCTGTACAATAAAACACGCCCAGGTTTTTCTTCAGATCTCATCCTGTCTCATGTGCATTGTTTTACTAAGTTTATGCTCCACAACACTACTGACCGCTGTGTCTTGCTATCATGTGGTCATTACTAAAGTTGGTATAAATAGAGAAGCAAGTGGTCGTCAACATTCATCTCTCGGGGGGGGATGTCTAACTCAGTGTTACGGTGTGTTTGACCCTAACTTAAATTTACCCCAGAATATCTCTTAAACAAAACTTTATTCCCCCTCGCCCAGCAACGACCAACCTCCCTGTCCTTTGTTTTGTCTTATTTTGTAATTGACGCCTGTCTTACACTGTTCTGTAATTGTCTAATTATCCTGTATTGTTTGCATAGATATTCAATTTAAAAAAAATAATAATAAAAAAAAAAAACAAGCATCCCTCTGAAAAATAAATCAATATTTTTTCTGTAACCTAATCTTTTTAAAATCTATCAGGTTGAACCTATAGCACACAAGTGTGTCTTTTCAGTGTCAGATCCATTGACTGTATATAAAATGGTTGCCGTCTGCCTCCTTGCTAGGCGAAGCCACCCAGAGAACAGCACACTCTGGTGACAGGCTGCAGTATAGGTCATAAATCCCGCCTCCTCCAGCCATCCCTATGGAGTGGTAGACTTACACAGAATATACATTTTTTTCTCCACCCAGGTTGCGATGTTGACATGTAGTTACTGTAAGACTGGTTTGTGCTCAAGTCCTCTTTTTTTCTGTACAGCTCCATTTTTAAAAGTTATTAGGGGGTTCATGTTTTCTGTGATTGACACCTGATACAGACTATAAGCATACAAAGATTGCGTAGCTCACCCAGGGGATACACTGTTTGACCTGAGTGTCATCACAGTGAGTCTCATCGACTCTCCTGCCAAATGCTCACAATGCTACTGTGTAAGTGACAACGCTCCTGCACAATGTTGGTTTCAGGAAATGGAGAAAAATCGCGGAAATACTGAGAGCCTTTCGGCTTAAAATCCGTATACTGGCAGAAGGCGGAACCAAGTTGTCCATAGTAAATACAGTCTATGGTCAGATCACACTTGATAACATTTTAGATGACTGGATTATTTTATTATTGGACACCTTTTTAATCTGGAGGACCTCTTTAAAACCTAAACTGGATTTTGTCCCCTCCATTGACTGTGTCCTGGTTGTCTGGAGCCGTCTCGCTGCTGATCCTAAGTCTCTTAGACCTCTCTTTTCTAATACTTGCTGTTGAAGATAGTATTGATTTATCTCTCTAAGGGGTTCAGGTCAGGCAAGGTCATTTCCTCAAGACAGAAAACCATTTGGTTGTAGTTTTGGCACCGTGGGCAGATGCTGAGGGGAGTTTGTCAAAATATGAAGTGCCCTAGAATCTTTCGGCAGCAAGCTGCATGGGACCCACACCAGTCAATGACACTGCACCTGAAATAGCAATGTGTTAGTCTCCCCACTGTTAATGGATGTGCTGATTGCGCATAAATAGTAATTGTATATATTGCCTCGACAGTCTCATGACAGTCTCTGTAAACTGTTGTAAGGTGCTTTGTTGAAGACATACAGACTATTGAGTCTGCTGCGTATAGAAAATTTATTATTAAAACATCAGAGGAAGACCAGGGCAGGGTACCTATGTAACAAGAGTATGAAAGCACGGACTGATACATCAGATTACTGTCACCAGTAATATAGGGAATGAAAAAAATGACCTTCTAGGGGAGTGTTTGAATTAGCCCAGCTCCATGACAGACATGGATCCAGTAACACTACATTAAAGTGTTTAAATACACTCTCAGGTGTAAGTTGGTGACTGTCTTTATTTTTTGTGGTCTTGGAGTGCAAATTTTATTGTTCTCATTCTGAACTTCATTGTCCTTTGATCTACATTTGTCATAATTCCTCATTTAAAAGAAAAAAAAAAAAAAAAAAGCATTTTTATGCACAAATAAGGACTGAATAGAGGAGTCATAATCCTCGTACCCGTACTCAACATACAGCATGGATGCATGGCCTGGAATTTAACAGCTTAAAGTCAGTGAGTACATCTTGTGCCATTCACCTGGGATAAGTGTCATGATGTCTGCTTAGCTATACCAGCTTTAACATGACTGACAATGAGACACAATAGTGGAAATACAGACAATTGGCAGATATGAGCCTTTGAGTCTGAAAGGATTATACTGTCACTGTAAAGGATGGATGTGTCATTCTGGTTATTGTAGATGTGCAGCATGCTGTCGCTCTGTTCTGTTTGTTGTATATCCCTCTGCTGATGTTACAGTGATCCAAAAGCCAAGAAGGGATGCTGCACTAAGCACAACCTCAGTCTCTGTGCTTCTGCCTCTGTGTGAAGCCTCAGCAGCCTCTCCACTGTGGGGCAGGCATCTCAATTATTTCCAAGCTATAATGCAATCAACCCAGCTGTAATGGGCAATATTGCCTTGCATAGCTCACTCATAACTCATTTGCAGAATTAATTGCCGCATTAGATGCTGGGTGTCCCCAGTGGCAAGTGAGCTTCACTGATAAGAGATTTCATTAAGTTCACTTGTTTACAACGCATTCCATCAGCAGCAGGGCCGTTATTCAGGATGAAGAGAGATACAGCCTGCCATTGTCACCACACACCGTCCCGTAGTGGAGCACGGAACACCCAGAATCAGCTCAGGTCCAGAACCAACCACCAGATTGAACAGTCTTAGTGAACACATCATTAGCTGTGTAGACATTGACACTGTAAGGAAGGATTAATGTTCTTTTCAGATCATTTTATTCTTATACTGCATCCTGATTCCTCATCTGTTTGGCACAGACAACTATAACTATAACTACAATAACATAATGGTGGAATGGTAAAAATGATGAGCAATATTATGTAAAATATTAACACATGTAACGGGGGTGGGGGGCACTGTTGGTCAGTCACATATCTCAGCCTGTAAACTCAATGCTTTGCTGCATAGTTTGCTGTGGTGATGCTGCCAAAAGTTTTGATTGGCAATTTGCAATTAGAGACTACCTTGGGTCGCTAATACATTTAAAAACAAATGGAGCTGCACAATGTGCAAGAGCAAGTAACCATGCATGCAAGAAACACTTTGCTGGTAGGGTAGACATGTTCCTCAAAGTTGAACATCAGGCAGTGCCTGTTTTAAAGTATTCAAACTCTGAGCTCGACCATGGCCCTTATCTTTATCTGTTCTGCTCTTTTTTCAGGTTCCTAGTGATTTTCTGTACTTCATCTATGAAACAGACTGTCTGTCAATGTGGTGAACCTCCAGAGACAGAACAGAGATTTGACCAAAAACAAGAGCGCCTTCTTCAGCTTGATTCAAACCCTCCCTAACAGTTACAAGAGAGATTTTACCACCGAGCATCCTCCCATGTACAAACAGAATTCATCTTTCTGCACTGACAATGCGACAGTCAGAAAAGTGACAGGAAAAGATCCAACACGGTGTCTGATTACAGTGACAGCAAACACATGACTTGTTTCCAGAAAGTTATATAATTCATGTCCCCCATCCTCAAAGGTAGTGACTAGAAAGGCATGCATAATGCAGAATAACTCAGGACTCAGATTACTGTCATATGAAAGGGGCGCAGTGTGTTGAGTGTGTCTGCCTCATCAGTTCCCCATCCCTGCTGAAGGAGTCTGTCACTGAGAGAAAAGGGAGGAGGAACCAAGAACATGCTGGTTAGAGTGTCTTTTCTTTTTTCACGTTGCAATTTGATTTTGACATTCTTGGTCAGAATATTTGAGGTTCAACTGTTCAGCCGAATCAAAAATAAGCAGCTTGATATACAACTGATCAAAGAGTCGAAATTAATGTGTCTGTCTTGTGTTTTGTGTGTGAGGATTTTGATATTCTTACTATAGCACCTTATTTTGAATACCCAGTCTGCAGCCTCCCCTTTGAGCTTCTCTGGTAGCTGGTAAGCATTAAGAAGGTGCAGCCTAACTCTGCAAAGCTGTTGTTTAAAACAAAGGACCCTATTGCACACCAGGGGCCTATACTACGAAGCAAGTTCCACCTAGCGAGGTAGCCTTGGAGCTACCTCGCTCAACTTAGCATGGTAGCCAGCGGTCTTGCTAAACGGTCTTACAACGCTGGTTATCAACCTCGTAAGTGGATCCAGCTTTGCTTTGAGCGTGTGCACGCATGTAAAGCAGAGCCCGCCGCATCTGACCAATCGCGAACATGGACCAGGAGCAGGAGACAATCATGAGTATGTAGAATTCAAATCTATCATAAACTTCAAAAGCAACACCGTCGCTGCTACAAAAGCACAGAAGGAATGCTGGCAGAAAATTGCCAACAGTCTCAATGCGTAAGTATAGAGCGCAAAAAATCTTTGATGCCATTATCGCCCTGAAATAGCACTGTTCAACATGCGCTTTTAACCTGCACCAGACATGTCT